CGGACTGCGAGGCCGTGGGGGGGCCCAGGCGGGCCGCCTCCGCCATGTTGCACCCTCCCACAGCCGCCCCTGCTTGGCGGCTCCCACAGCCGGCGCGCGCCTCACCTTCTCGCAGAGGCTCTTGACCTGGGATTCGGACAGCTGCTTGCACTCGTTCAGCTGCTCGATCCACTGGTCCAGCTCCTTGGTGAACACCTTCTCGTCCATGATGCCACCCGCCCGAACCGGCTGCCCCTCCGCGCTGCTCCCGCGCCGCCGCCCGCACACGGGCCACACGCACACGCCGCCGCCGCTTCCCGGGGTACTACTTTAGCTACTGGCGGTCACTTCGGCGTCAGCGCTGGCCAGCCGGGAGTCTCCGCCGCAGTGCTCGGCCACCGGCCGCTGTGCCTCCTCCTGCTCCTCCTCCTCCACCTCCTCCGCTGCCTCTAGCTCCGGAGCTGAGCTCTCTGTAATGGCGGCTGCCCGGCGTGGTGACGTCACGGCCGGCGTCAGGAGACGGCAGGGTGCGGAGGGAAAAGAGCGCCGGGCACGAGCTGCGCAACTGCAGGCTAGATCCTGGTCGACCGCAAGAACCTCGTTGGGGGAGGGGACGACACCCAACGCGCAGGCGCATCCTAGTCGGCTAGTAACGCGGGCCCCTTCGCTTTTAGGGCGTGGCCTCTTGAAGGGGGAGGGGAGGGCGGATTTTTTTTTTTTTTTTAAAAGAGAGACTGCGCAAGCGCAGTGCTGGCAACTGTGAACGCGGATTATGCTTGAGCACGACGCCCAGAGAGACTGGGGCGCGGGCGCGGGCGCGGTCCTGGTTGGAGAGGGCCTTGTTACACGCTTGACATTTTCCCCTTGGGGAGACCGGGCTGGTAAACCGGCTCCGTTCTTCACCTGGTGGTTGGCAACCAGACCAGGCAAAGGCGAATGCGACCCTGCTGGAATAACGCCGAAGTTGCGTGAGATGCCGGCACGTGTGGGGGCCGGGACCGGCCGCCAGCTGGCAACCTTGAATGGAGGGACCACCCCGCCCCTGGGCGCGATCCATCCCTATTAATTAGGTCACGCGTAGGCGTGTACTTCCTTGAAGAAGGTGTACCTCCCGGGGCAAGTGCCGCCCGGCCACCTGACCTTGGGGCTCACACCTGTCCCTGTGCCTGTAGATCTTGGGCGTGGTGGCGGGGGCCGAGGCGTGGGGCTTCTCGAGCGCACTCCCCCGTTTGCATAGCCCTTCTTCGCCGGCCCCGGGGTGGCGAGGGGAGCAGCCCCAGCCGCTACCGGCCGTGACCTCTTTTCTGGAGGGACGCACTGGTCCTGGAGGCGTCTCAGGGGTGATAGAAGCGGCTATGATTGGCACTTTAAACAAAATTCAATGTCCTAGAATGGGACTTGAGTCTTAAAATAGATAAGGAGCCCTAGTGGGTGGCAACTTGGGCTGCTAACCACAGAGTCAGTAGTGGATCGAAACCACCAGCAACTTCAATGCAGAAAGATTAGACTGGATGCTCCGGAAAGTTAGTCTCCCTGCCCTCTAGGGCTTTCATGAGGCCCCATTGAGTTGATTGCAGTGAGTAGAATCGGATTTCATCTGGTTGTGAATCTCTTCCAAACACTTTGTCCCTGAATTCACTGAACGATTTGGCTCCCTAGAGTGCTCTGTGCCAGATATCGTGCCTGAGGGACATAGGGGATCATTCAACAGGCAAAGTAGCCTGCCTTAGTGGTGTCCTACATTCTTCCAGTAATACTAGCTTAAGATGGTTTGGGGACAGGCAGAAGAGGGAGTATGATCTTCTACAATCTGAGATGTAAAAGCTTTTCAGAGGACATTCAACCATAAAGGATAGGGCAATAGCTAAACTTGGTCTCCTGTCTTCCAGACCCATGTCCCCAATCGCAGTGGACCTTGCTGAGCTTGGAGGAAGTACTCACTCTGTACTCACAGGGTCCTGGTCCAGGCCGAAGAAAGCCCAGAAGGAACCTATCAGCCAATGCCAGGACTGAGAATCCTCCTGCATCCAAGACAACCTGTTTAGCCAGGCCAACTCGCTTGGTCTTCCCAGGCTGAGATTGCAATTCCCTCCCCCTTCTACCTCCCTCCAGCGTGCCTGGAAGAAAGCCCCTCAGATCTGCTCCCCAGAAGGCTTCTCAGACCCTGCATTTTTGAGACTGGGGAAGAACTCTTTCAGTGTTAACTCTGACCCGGTTTTGCAGATAGCATCCCCAAATAATAGAGTGTGTTAAGATTATGTGGGATGATTATAAAGCCATGCCCGATGCTGTCTCAGCGTATTCTTTACCCCTGCCTTGTACCTGGGGGAGAACTGGCCCTGTCTGCCGCCCTTCCAGTTTATCATTTAAAAGATAAATGGCAAAATGCCAAGTATATGAAGCTTCAGAAGAGGGTTTCATGCGACCCAAATTCAGTCA